GTCCTTGGGGGGTGGGTTCCATCCCTGCAGGGGTTGGGATTCAGGGGCTGGGGGGCTCCTGTGGCTGTAGGGACAGGGGGGTAGCCCATCCCCAGGGATGGGGGGACCCCGTTCCCAATACTGGGGGTGGAGGGACCCATCCCTGCATGGTGGGAGTGAGGGTTGTGAGCCGGGATGAGCCCAGATGAGACCCCACCCAAATTTGGACAGGCCCTGTGGGCAGAAAGAGGGGCCTGGGAGGGCTGGGGGGGCCTGGCTGGTGTCTCACTCCCACCTCACAGATCCAGAGCTCGCCGGGGGCTCGATGCCGGAGCCGGAGGAGGAGGAGTACGAGTACATGAACCGCCGGCCTGGGGGTGCCCCCGGAGCCCCCCAGCCCCGGCCGGCCTCGCTGGAGGAGCTGGGCTACGAGTACATGGAGGTGGGCTCGGAGCCAGGGGGGCCCCCAGGTGCCCCCCCAGGCCGGGGCGGGCAGGACGAGGAGGACTACGAGTACATGAACAAGCAGCCGCGGCTGAGCCGCTCGCTGGGCAGCGTGTCCGGGGGGCCGGGACCCCGCCCGCAGGGAAGCCCCCCCCGCCACGACGGCTACACCGACATGCGCCCCGGGGAGACCCCCGCGCCCCCCGCCCCGGAGGAGGAGCAGGGCTACGAGGAGATGGAGGCCGTGGTGACCCCGCGCTGCCCCGGCTGCCGCGGGCCCCCCACCCCCTGCATGAAGCCCCTGCGCAGCCTGGAGGCCTCGGACTGTGCCTTCGACAACCCCGACTATTGGCACAGCCGCCTCTTCGCCAAGGCCGATGCCCAGCGGACGTAGGGGACCCCCCGGTCGCCCCCCGGGTCCCCGCAAGGGCTGCTTACACTGGATATGAAGGATCCCCCCTGGGTGGATGAGCCCCACCTGAGGGTGCCCGGTCTGGGGGGCACCTGCTCCCTCCCACCCTTTGCAGGGTTTTTTTTTCGGGTTGCGAGGCCGGGGGAGATAATCCTGAGCCCCAGGAGGTGGTGGGGAGGGGGCAACCCAGACCCCTTGAAGAGGGGGTCAGGACCCTTGAGTCCCCCTCCCACCGTGCCCGGGGGGTGTCCCCTGGCTGCTCCCCCCAGCTGAAGGTGCTCCCCCTGTGCTGGGGGTCTCTGTGGGGCCGGGGGGGAAGCAGCAGACGAGGTCAGACGGGATTTCTGAAGAACCCCAGACTCATTTTCAGGTTTCCCCATTCCCCTGCTGGAACCGGAGTGAAGGTTTGGAGGTGCCCCCTTCCCCCCGCGGGGGCACTTCGAGGGGTGGCGGGGGGGAGATCACTGCCCAGGGTGAGGGGGGTCCGCACAGCCACCCCCTACCCGCTCTGGGCGGGGATCCCCGGGAATCCTTTCCCGTGCTGCTTTCCCAGGTTTCTCGGGGGCTGCCCGGAGTTGGGGAGGTCAGCCCGGACCCCCCGTCTCAGGGATCGCCCCCGGCGTCGAGGGCGGGGCGGGACGGGACTGAATAAAGAAAAAAGGGAATTTCAACCACAGTGTCGGTGTTGCGGCTTCGGGGGGGCCCGAGGGGGAACGGGGAGGGATCACCGCACGTGGGGGAAGGATCGGGGAGACCGGGAGGACCGGGGGCTTGAGGGGCAGATCGGGGCCCGGGGGCTGCGGTGGGGCCAAGGGGCTGAGGGAGGTGAGTGGGACCGGGGGCAGCGACAGCCTCGGGCAGGGAGCGGCGCCGGGGGCTTCGCGATGCCGGAGCCCCCCAACCTCCCGCCTACATCCCCCATCGCCCCCCGCGCTCCACTTCCGCCAAGATCGCCTCTTCTCGCGAGAGCCGCGCTGCGCGCCGGGAGTTGCAGTCCTGGGGCGGGAAATGCCCGCCCGCCGCTCTGCGCGCGGGGGCTGCCGGGAGTTGTAGTCCGGGGGGTGTGGAGGACTCGCGTTCCCAGCGTGCCCCGCGTGGAGCCCGCGCTCTGCCCTGCTCGCGCCTCGGGCTCGCGGTCCCGGGGGCTCCTCGGCGGCGGCGGCGGCGGGCGGGGGGCTCGACCAGGCCCGGGGGGCTCGACCAGGCCCGGGGGGCTCGACCAGGCCCGGGGGGCTCCGGGGGAGGCTCGGGCTCGGGGGGGGGCTCCCACCATGTCGGGCGAGGAGGAGGCGGCCGAGCTCACCATCGCCGAGGACCTGGTGGTGACCAAGTACAAGATGGGGGGGGACATCGCCAACCGTGAGTGCGGGGCCCGGGGCGGGGGGGACGGCGGGGCGGGCGGGGGGCGGCTCCGGTAAGGGGCGGGGAGGCGGTGAGGGGTGGCCCCCCCACGATCTGAGCCCCCCCGGGCCGGCCCCTCTCGCTGGTGAGGTGGGGGGGGGCTGCGGCCGCGGGTTGGGCCCCCCCGTTCCACCTCTCGGTACGCGGGACCCGCCGGGCCCCGGCCCCGCGCGGCCGCCGCCGCAGCCGGCACGTGGTCCCGCGCCCCACGTGCACCGGCCGCGGGGGGTGCGGAGCCGGGCCTGTCCCTCCCCGCGCCCCCGGCCCGCGCCGGGACACAGAGGGACCCCCCCGCCCCCGCCGGTGCCCCCGGGGCTGCCCCGAGCCGCCCTTTTGTTCGGGGGGTCGAGGGGGCCGGGGGATCCCGCGGTGGCGGCGGGGATGGGATCGGAGACGGGAGAGCTCCGGGGGGGCTCCTGCCCTGGCCTAGGGGGGTCCTGCCCGGGAATGGGGGTGGGGGCTGCCCCAGGAATGCGGTTCCTGCCCCAGACGGGGGGTCCGGCCTCGGGAATGCAGTTTCTGCCCCTGCTCGGGGGTCCTACCCTGGGCCAGGCTGTGCCCCCTCCCCCCGTGTCACTCCCTTTCCCCTGTTATTTTTTAACCCCAGTCCGCGCTGTCGCGGGTGCCCCGCCGAGGGTGACAGCTGTTAGAGCCGCCCCGACCGGTTCCGTGGGGCTCCCGGCTGTCCCACGCCGGCTCCTGCTGACTCGAGAGCTTCTCTCGGACTCCTGCCGCTGTCCCGGGAGGCAGCTCGGGCCGGGAGCGGGGATGCAGATTCCCTTCGGGAAGGGAGGTCGCCGCCGCTTTGGCTCCCTCGGTCTGCTGGGCAAACTGGAAGTTTGGCCACCTCCCTTCCCGGGGGGAAAGGCAGCTCCACGCGGGTTCTCCTCCCTTGGGAAGAGCAAACACACAAGTGTGGCAAAAAAAACTTCCAACTGCCTCGAGTTCTTGCCACAGTGAGGGGCTTTTAGAGCTGTAAAGTGCTTTAACTCCCTAAAAAACACTGGGAAGGGCAGAGCAGAGTCGGGAGTGTTCCTGGGCAGTGCTGTCAGCTGTCCCTGCTCCTCGGATCCCTTGGAATGCTCCGAGGGTTCCCCGTTTATCTGCTTCCCTATTTGTTTTATTTCTTCTCTGTGTCCTGCCAGCCACAACCGGCTCCTATCAGAGTGTTATCTGTGCTTTGAAATATTCCCATGGAAGGAGTGACTGCAGGGGGCTGAAATTTGATTTGTTGCACAGGTGAAAGATCCACCTGTCCCTTCAGCTCTTCCGAGGATTCCTTGGAATTCCAAGACAGCACATTTCCCCCCGCCCCTGTGACTCCCCCAAAACAGGCTCTAGTACAAACAACAGAACAAGGGGAAACTTTGAGGAGATACCCTGGAATACTTTGGGATCAGGGCTGTTGCTCCCTGTGGAGTGTCACAGGTGGAAGCAGAAGGAGGGAAGGGGCCCTGGGACACCCCTTTCCCACAGTTTATCCCTAAAGCACGAGGCAAGCTGGCATTCCCAACAGAATCCCAACAGGACTCACAGGGACTGAAATATTCCCAGAACTTCCTGTAAGCCCAGCACAGAGATGGGCGTGGGGAGCTCCCTGTGCCAGGCTGGGCCGGCAGCACATGGATTCCTTGGAAAACAGGGACTCTTGGAGTGGCAGAGTCTGTCTCTGGTCCCGCACGTCCACAGCGCCTTTGATGTCTCCCAGTAATTCCCAAACCTGTTCCTGGAGCTCTGACTTCTCCCAAAGGAATGTGGGGCTCCTGCTTCCCGCTGGGTGTCAGAGGTGCTTCACCTGTGGGAACATTCCCAAAGGTTGAGGTGGGGTTTGTGCCTCTCCAGGGTCGTTTTCAGTCAAGACCCGAGTCTGGAATATTGTTTTGTCTCGGACTACAGCGAGGTTTTCCCACCACGGTGCTGTGAGGGGGATGTTGGTGCTGGATTTGGGGCTCTTTATCCGTGGAATGCTCAAGGTGTCCTTTGGAATTCAGGGGTCCTTCGTGCCGTGGTGGAGGCGGCGAATCCGGGAGCGTCGGTTCTCTGCCTGTGCGAGAAGGGGGATGCCATGATCATGGAAGAGACTGGGAAGATTTTCAAGAAGGAAAAGGAGATGAAGAAAGGTGAGGCTGCTCCGAGGACATCCCGTGGATCTCATTCCTGGTGGGAAGGGGCAGGAGCACGGGAAGTGCTCCTCAGTGCTGGGGGGTGTAAGGAGTGTTTTGCTGTTCCCAGGAAGCCAGTGTTAGCCCAAATCCTCCTGCCTGCAAAGTGTCCCTGCCCATGGCTTTAAGATCCCTCCAAACTGCTCCTTGACTCCATGGTTGTGTTTTTGCCTCCCTAGGAATTGCCTTCCCGACGAGTATATCCGTAAATAACTGTGTGTGTCACTTCTCCCCCCTGAAGAGTGACCAGGATTACATCCTCAAAGACGGAGATCTGGTCAAAATGTGAGTGCCTGGGGTGTGTTCCCTCTTCTGGTCCTGCTCCCTGTTAAATAACTTCCCAGAATCCCACAGTGGTTTGGGTTGGAAGGACCTTAAAGATCATCCCCTTCCCCCTGCCATGGGCAGGGATGCACCATCCCAGATTAATTACTGCCTCGCTAATTAAAGACTCAAATCGAGTCTGGAGCAGCGCCTGGGGCACTCTTCCATCTGCTGATGCCTCTGGAATCGCCCCCGAGCCGTGAGACCCACCTGGAATTCCCTTTCCTTTGTGTTGCAGCGACCTGGGGGTCCACGTGGATGGGTTCATCGGGAACGTGGCCCACACCTTCGTCATCGGCGCCTCCAAGGTGGGTTTGTCCTTGGGGGGTGTCTCTGGCTGCCCCTCGGAGCATGGCATCCCAGAAATCATGCTGGGGGGAGTCTCTGGGAGGGGACAGCACCAGGAGCCTTGGAGAGGCAGTCCCTGCTGCCCAGTTTTGCTGCTGGAATGCCCCTGGATAGATGTTCCCCACCCCAAAATCAGTTCCCCACGTTCCTTGCTGGGGGCTGTTGTTGGCAGGACACACTGGGATTTGGCTGGTCTTGTACTTTGGGAATTCCTTTTGTGATCCTGAAGTTGCTGCTTAAAAAAGCTCAGGATAAATCCTTAGGTGTAGCCTTGGGAAGGGGGTGGCACTGTCCTGGGTTTTGCTCCAGTGGCTTTGGAACGACTTGAAGGGTAGAGGACCAAAACTCCTCATTTGGAGCGTGTTGAAATCCTCCCAGTCCATGTTTCTGGCCACATTGGAGTCCTGATCCCTTTCCAGTCGGGGATGCCTGGACTGGGAAGTCTCTGGAACTCCCGTGGGAGCTGATTTGGTGGTGGTTGACGGGGCACTAACAAGGGATCTGTGGGGCTTTTCCCCTTGGGAGCTGGATTCCCTGCTCGCTCCAGGGGGAAGGTGTCCGGTGAAACGGGGAATCTCCTCCTCCAAACGAACAACAACCCTCAGAAATCCTCCTGTTTGGCTGTTTTCCCAGGAAAACCCCGTGTCGGGCCGCAAAGCCGACGTCATCAAGGCGGCTCATCTGTGCGCCGAGGCCGCCCTGCGCCTGGTGAAACCTGGGAACCAGGTCAGGATCCCAGGGGGGGATGAGCACGGGGGCAGACTCCTTGGGAAGAATTCCCAGCCTGGGGAATTCCGTGGGGCAGCTGAGAGCAGCTGTCGGGGTGGGTACTGGGAAGAGTCAGAGCCTGGCACTGTCTCTCTGCTTTTCAGGAGGTGTCAAAGCACCTGTTGGTTATAAAACATGTGGGATTTATCCCAGGACACGGAATTAAGGGAAGCCTCGTGCTTGTGGTGGGAATTTTCTGTGCTTTACATGTTTTCCTGTGTCCTTCTTCCAGAACACACAAGTGACAGAGGCCTGGAACAAAATAGCCCACTCGTTTCACTGCACGCCCATCGAAGGTGAGGATGGGGAGCAGGGACCCCAGGGAGCAAGTCCATCCCATACCAGAACCTTCCCAGGGTGGGCAGGGTGTCATTTCCTTCCTGCTCCAAACCCATGGATAAGTGGGAAGGTGCTGGAATAGCTGCTGGTGGCAGTGGCACCGCTGGATCCCTGTGTGGAGGCTCAGCCTGGCATGGGGCACTGGCAGATCCTTTTCTCCTGCCGGTGCCATGGGGTTCTTTCAGCCACCTTAAACTGGTCCATTGCTGGTTAAATTTTTCAAAATTCCACGGAGCTGGCTCATTCCCTGGGATCTCTGGGAACACAGATTCCTTGCTCTGTATGTGGGATGGCTTTGTGGGCCTCCTCAGTGCTTTGTTCAGTTCTGCAGACACAATCCAGTGCTGTCCAAGGAGCTGTCTGGGGAAGAGTTGAGTCCCAGGGTTTTCTCGGGCAGGTGATGGGAGCAAACAGAGCTGGTTGTGCTTCCTGTTCCCAGAAGGGACATCCCACAGTCCCTGCTGGCTTAGGGAATGGATTGGGAATGTGCTGGTGCCTCTTCCCAGGCTGGGGTTTGGAGGTGAACTGTGGGAAATCTCCCTGGATATGATACTGGTGGGGAATGGCATGTGCCTGAGGGGCCCAGTACAGCCCAGTACAGCTCCCAGTACACCCCTGTTTCCGTGTGACCCTGACGACTCTTTCCCTCCCTGCTCCCTGGATCTGAGCTGCACTCCCAGTACTCCCAGTAAGCCCAGTTCCCTCTCACGACAGGGATGTTGTCGCACCAGCTGAAGCAACACGTGATCGACGGAGAGAAAACCATCATCCAGAACCCCTCGGACCAGCAGAAGTGAGTGAGGGGCTTTTGAGGGGGGTCAGGGTGCCCTGGGTCAAAGTTCAGCTCCTGGCCCTGCATAGGACAACCCCAAAAACTTCCCCAGTCCCCAAATCCCACGGCCTGAGAGCGTTGTCCCAATGCTCCTGGAGCTCTGGCAGCCTTGGGGCCGTGAGGAGCCTGGTCAGTCCCACCCCATCCTCTGGGGGAAGAACCTGTTCCCAAAATCCATCCAACTCCCCCAACACAGCTCCAGCTGTTCCCTTGGGTCCCGTCACTCATCCCAGGGTGGCTCGTCACAGTCCATCCCAAACCATCCCAGATTCTGTGAGTTGTGAATCCATGTTTGGGGTCATTCTGAGAAAGAAAAGCTGGAAGCCACCGAGGAGGCTCCGTGCTGGCACCTGTGCTTGGTTCCTGTCCAGTTTCTGGGGATCTGCTGGAAGCTGCCAGCACAAATCCCAACTGTTGGTCGTGGAGGTGGTGCCAGCTCAGAGCTGTGCCAAGACCTGTTGGCTGTCCCACGGGAGCTGCCAGGATCCCACGGGATGGAGGTGCCTCTCAGTCCCATCTCAGAAGGGACTTCAGCTTAATGACCTGGATTCTCCTTCCATCCTGCTCCAGCAGCTTGGGGATCCGCTGGGATGGGGTCTTACACTAAATATTTAGAGAGTTTGGTGGCTTTAAATCCTAGTCTCCATCCCTGGAGGTGTTCAGGGAACAACTGGATGTGGTACTCGGTGCTGTGGGTGACAAGGATGGGTCACAGGTTGGACTCGGTGACCTTAGAGGTCTTTTCCAACCTCAGGGATTCCAGAATTCCAAGTTCTGAGGGTCCTGTGGCGCTTGGGAGGTTTTCCCTTCCCTATTCTCCATTTTTTTTTTTAACTCACCAAACTTTTCCATGCAGGAAGGACCACGAAAAAGCCGAGTTCGAGGTCCACGAAGTTTACGCTGTAGACGTTCTCGTCAGCAGCGGAGAGGGAAAGGTGAGTGCACCCCAAAAATCCAGGGACACCTTTGGGGTGGGGGGGGTCTGGAGGGGGCTGCTCTGAGGGCAGCACCGCTCCGGGTCTCCCACAGCTCCCGTTGGCGTTTCCAGGCGAAGGACGCAGGACAGAGAACCACGATTTACAAAAGGGACCCTTCCAAGCAGTACGGCTTGAAGATGAAAACCTCCCGTGCCTTTTTCAGCGAGGTGGAGCGACGCTTCGACACCATGCCCTTCACCCTCAGGTGTGGACACCCGTCCAGGGGGCTGGGACACCCGTCCAGGGCTGCAATCTGAGCAGAGCCAATGTGTTTTGCTGTCCCAGCTCTGAGTGGGGCACAGCCTTGGCTGCCCTCGGTTGGGACTTCCAGGATTTGAGCCCAGGAGAGGGTGTAGGAAGGATGTGATGGGCTTAAGCGGGAATTGCAGGGGATTTGAGCTCAGGTGTGAGCTTGGGTTTGAGCTCAGGTGAGCCCAGGTGTCTCTGTCTCCTCCCAGGGCTTTTGAGGACGAGAAGAAGGCCCGGATGGGGGTGGTGGAATGCACCAAACACGAGCTGCTCCAGCCCTTCAACGTCCTCTACGAGAAGGAAGGTGAGTCCTGGCTGGGGAGGGGATCATGGGTCCTGGCAGGTTGAGGAAGCTCCTCTGGGGGGGATTTTAGCCAGATGGGAACAGCAGAGGGTGGAACACTGATGGGTCAGGGATCATTGCCGGGATCAGGGATCATTGCCTGCCCGGAGCACTCCGGGGGTTGGACCCGCAGGTCCTGGCAGGTCTGACCCGGGCTGTGCCTCGCAGGGGAGTTCGTTGCACAGTTCAAGTTCACGGTGCTGCTGATGCCCAACGGGCCCATGCGGATAACAAGCGGCCCCTTCGAGCCCGAGCTCTACAAGTCTGACTTCGAGGTGCAGGACGGAGAGCTGAAGGTTGGTTGAGTCACAAACGTGATTGATATTGATAATTACAAATATTAATATACGGATTAAATGTGTTCATAGAAATGTGTAATATGTATGTATAGTGTATATAATACGTGTATTTATGGAGAAGTGCTCCCAGTGCTTTCCAGGAAGGATTTAGGGAATCACACCTTGGAATTCCCCATCCATCCTGTGCCCCTGAGGATTTCCCTGCCGTTCCCCTCTTAATTCTCCTCTAATGGTGTTCCCTATTCTCCTGACCAAAAAAAAAAAAAAAAAAAAGTAGTTTTCCATCTCCTCATGTTTCCTTCCTCTCTCCAGGCCCTTCTACAAAGCTCTGCAAGCCGGAAGACCCAGAAAAAGAAGAAAAAGAAGGTAATTTGTTCATTCCTTGTGGGAATTTGTCCACTTCCTTGTGGAAGCTTGTGGCTCAGCGGTGCCCAGACACTCCCAGGTCCCATGTTTTGGGTTCATTTCGGTGCTCTCCCACCTCAGGAAGCAGCAACTCCATGGGAAGGGGCTTCTCCAGGCCCCTCAGAGTGGGCTGTGCCCATGTGGGACCCCCCAGCTCTGATCTGTTCCCGGTTTGCCCCCCAGGCTTCCAAGAACGCGGAAAATGCCACCACGGGAGAGACGGCGGAGGAGAACGAGGCTGGCGACTGAGAGCCCCCAAATCACTCAAATGGCCCCTTTTCCCCCCAGAAAAAAATCCAACCAGAAGCAAAATAATCTGGCACTGTTGGTCCCCTCAGGACTGGACAGTCTGGACTTCCCACTGACTCCAAGCAGCTCCTTTTGACTTTGCCAAGCAGGGAGGAATCTCTCGGCCACTTCAGATGACTGAAAAAAGAGCAGAAAAAATAAAAATTAGGAGTAAAAGTCACTATCAAATCTTTAACCTTTTATATTTCCCACATTTGAAGAGGAGAATTAATCCCAATCCAGTGAGAGGGAGTGTAGGGAGCTGCCTGCTTCCTTCCTCCTCCTTCTTCTCCTCTTCTTCCTCATCCTCCTTTTATATTTTTTAATTTTTCCCTTTACAAATTTTAATGGAGGACAAAAAAACCCACCCAAAAGCAGCTAATTACACCCAGAAAAGTGCCCTGTGTGAGTGATCCGGGACATGGTGCCAGAGGATTTATCTTTTCCCTCTGGATTTATATTTATAATTGGGAAAAATAGCAAATTTGAGGTCCCCTGGGAGAGTGGTCTGGCTGCTCCGTTCTGTCTCTGCCTTCATTTAAGGGATAAACTCGCTATTTTTAACACAAACTCGTTTTTAAATTGTCCAAATCCTTGGAAGCCGCTGACATTCCGGCCCTGCGGAGGGGCAGGCGAGTCGAATTCCCTGTGTCCCGGGGCGGGGGTTTGTCCTTCCCTGTGGCCCGGGAGCACATTCCACCCTTCCCATGTGTCACCTCTTCCCTCTGGATCACACGTTTGTGATTGGGAAAAATCTCAGCTGTTCCTCAGGTGACCACTGAGGGAAGCGCTGCCGGAGCCGCCGGAGTCGGGGCCGAGCCCAGCCAGGGGTATCGTTCTTTTGTAGTCACTTTTATAAAAAAAAACAGAAAAAAAAAAACACGAAAAGAAAAAAAAAAAAAAAAGAAAAAAAGCCGCCTGATGCCATGAGTTGAATGTGAGGTTTTTTTCTTTGCCGATACCTCTGGTTCTTCCCCCGACGGAGCTGAATTTGGGAAAAACTCTTTGCCTTTAAGAACATTCCCGGGCGTCTCCGCAGGCCGCTGTGCTTCCTTCGTCAAGATCCGAGTTTTCCACCCCAAACTACACATGTGCAAATATTACCAAAGTCAATAAAAGAGAATAAACGATGCGATATTGGATTTTATTCTGAATTTTTTCCATCTCTCTGTGCTCTTTGGTCTCCAGTTCTTTCAGCTCCGGGGTGGGTG